GCACATTGTTTTGACATTGTTTGAGGTAAGTGAATTTTTTCAAGTTCTTCTGCCTTGAACTGACTTTATTTAATTTGGACGTATTCTTTCAGATGGTGGTAGACACACTATTTCTATGTGTTTGTGAAGACAAAACAATCAATGGCCGAGGCGGTCGTTGGGCTCAAAGCAATCTTGCTAAATTGGTAGGCGAAGAGCCACTACAGCCCGGTGAGGAACCACCTATACAAGTGGTGGAAATGATGCCCATCAACAAAGAACCATTCAGCGTAACCAGACTACCGCGCACTGATGTCATTGATGGTGTCACTGAGTAAAATCAAAATTTACTAAAAATTAAACACTCCAATTTACATTATATTTAACAGCATGGCTTTGATGTGCGCCATCATTATATTTAACTTAAGATATTTATTTAGATTTTCATATTTTTTATAATATTTTATATAGCGAACACTCAACATATTTTGCGAGGTACATGAAGTAAATCGATTAGAATGCAATAGGGTTCATATACCTACCAAAGTAAAAGACATTAAGTGCATGCGTTCACTTAAGAACAATTTCAGACTTGAGCTAATTAAGAACATTTAACTACTATTCATAAAAAAATTCCTGTCAAGCAAATTTAATCAATTCTCATTAAGGTAAATCTGTCTATGCACAATATAGAAAAAAACTAGTAACTAATTCGTACCAAAATACAAATACTTTTCAATAATAATGTTACATCATTTATTTACCACATTTAACTACATACCTTATTATGAAGAACCAGTAATAAATAAGACAATTATTTACAAATTAGCGTTATTTATTTTTATTTGATACTTTTGCTTTCTTCTTTGCAATAAGTTCAGCTGCAGCTTTTAGTTGTTTCTCTTTGATTTTCTTCGTCAGACCTGATTTAGTGGACTTTTTCTTACTGGCTTCAGCTGAAGTCTTCTTTTCCTTTGCTTTTTCTGTGAAGTGAATAAATAATACTACATCATTGAATTTAGATTTTAAATTAATACTAACAGAGCCAAATTGCTTTATTAGCGTTCGAGTGAAATAAGAAATAACATGTACAATTTTTTTAATTCAAAAATCTTTTATTTGAAAACTTTGCTGGACTATAGCTGAATCCATCGTAGTCCGATTTTCGTGAAATTACGAATATGCGACCACTGAATCTGAATTGCTACGAACGTATGGATTCGTAGATTTCAGCAAAAATTCGGACTACCATAAATTCAGTGATAGCATTGATGATATTTATGACTCACCTGCTAATAATTTGGCAGTGGTTAACGCGTTTTCGTTTTCAAATAGCTCGTCATATTCCAGTCCTTCGTATGCTTCTTTTGGCCTGTTTGCCTCTTGATGTACCTTTTGTTCTACACGGTTGACATATCTCTCCTTTGCTGCCTTCTTGAGCATTTGACGTTGCCGCGAGGGACTGACATAGTTTGGATTTTCCCATATAGCAGTCCCAGTAAACGATCCTTCAAATATTTTAACGGGATTCATTACAAATCTTGGCCCAATTTCTGCTAAGCCGCCATCTTCCGAAAGGACTTGAAAATTTCTAAACCATATGCGATGATCCAAGTATGTAAAAGTATAGACATGATCTATGAAAGGTTGACTTTTGGGATGGTGATTTGGTACACCGAAGGTTTGCGTGAATAGTTCTTTCAATAATTTCAAGTAAGGTACTTCATCAAATTTTGCATCAAAAGACAACAAAGGCCTGGAACCGCGCAAACAGTTCCCAGTCATTTTTAATTCAGCCATGGTATGAATATTTTCCACAAGGAACTTGGCTGACGGTCCAGTTGATGCATTAGCAACCCACATATATAAATCGCGTTTACGACGGCCTTCGAATAGTATTGTTTTATTACAATGCTTCATTTCACACATGTCGTTTATCACAGAAAGTGTTTTAGAACGTTCCATTTTAGACTCTGGTCGGTGATGTGGCATTAAAGTTCTTATATCACGCATCAAATGACGGTCACGGTGGTTGATGCCTCTCGCTGCAAAAACTAATACACGTTGCTTGTTAATCCATTTCTCCTAAAAAAGAAAGGCACTGTATAAAAAAAAGTCAATTTTGCGGAAAATATCATTAACTTCGTTACCCTTTTCGGTACAACGTCTTCGGATGTTCTCTGAGGCGGAAGTGGAGGATTTTCATCAATAGGTACGATCTCAAGCTGCTGTACCTTTTTCTTTTTGTGAGTTTTGCGTCCCATTGTTTAAATGTAAAATATGTCTACCCTTCGAAAAAAGCGCCGCACGTGTAGCTAGATTTAAAAACAAAACACGCATAGGGATGCAAGCGATGCATCGATAATTTTGAAACGTCAATAACATGGGTTCAAAATTCGAGGTTGGCCATCGATGTTTACAATTTCCTAAAATTGCTAAATTGCCAGTTTCATTATGCTTCTAAAATTTTTTGACTAGCCATGAATTTTAATATTATTCTTTTGGAGAACATTCAGAAATTCCGAGTTTACTCTTATCTTTCTTTAAAAGTGCTTACTTAATCATTAAAAACGACCGGGTTTACAAGCTAAAAATTTTGAAACATTGGAAACCATAGATATATCGATGTTTTTCTGGCGATGTATGTAAAAGCACATTTAGCTCTAGTTGCTACTCCAAATGTACATTTATCCATATAAAATTCGTCATGTAAATGCAACTCCATTTATGCATAAAGAGTCTAAATGCTAAAAGCAACCCTGTCATGTTCAAAAATGTCCACGATTTGATCATGGTTTAATGAGAAAAATTGGTAACATTGCCTTTTCGCGTATACAGTTGCTAGCTGCTTTTCAGTGATCGCCGATCGAGATTTCATTTATTATTTTACATTATTTGGAAAAAGAAAAGTCGCGCAAATTCAACATCGCTGTGATACTCATAGAAATCTGGCTCAATTTGTGATCAACTCTGTTTGTTTTTACCTTCCTCTTATTAGCTCGGGATGTAACTATGTAATATTGATGCGCCTAAAAGATGCAGCGATTTCTATTCTCAAGTTACATACCTGATGACAGTACGAATGGCAATTATAATAGGGAGGTTTTAGTTTTTTATACTAGGTTCACATATAAGTAGATTATCCTCATTTTCGAGCTTAACACCCTAATCTGTAATTATAACAAGAGATTAGCCATATAAAATTCGTCCCTTGTTAATCTGTAATTATAAAATAATCTCAGATTTAACCGATAACTTTTCGGTGTCCATCCTAGTTTTATCGATTGTTTTTGCGAAAGAGAGGAGAAATGCCAAATGTAAAAGTAAACAAAAATGTACGCTAGCAAGGAAAAGAGGTTTGTAAAGGTATTTTTAATAAAATGTTAAGTTAAAATATATTTATATTGCTTATTATAGCACAAAAACGTGATCACGGTGGCACAGAGAAGAAACACAACTTTTCCTTGAGATGTGAGAATAACAAGCACAATAAATTTGATGACTAATAATCTGAGATTTGCCTGTGTAAACGGGGTGATTAAAAAACGAGCTTTGATTGGGATAATATTGATATGTGAACATAGTTTAAAACTATAATTTTATTTTCCTATTTAATTGAGGAAATTTTAATTGACAACGCCGACAAACAATTTTTCGGTAATGGTTAAAACAATTAAAGTTTTTGTATTGATTTTTTTGTTTAAAATTTCTCTTTATTTTCAGGTGGGCTTTTTGCACATTATATTCTCTGTGCGAATTGATCGTGATAGGTACGGATCTGAATAAGCGACTGGAACACGGCTGTTTTTTAAAAGGATACGATTTCGAACTCGCGTAAATGTACATTTGGTAAATGCGATAGCATGAACGCTCCTCGAAAATATATGTTCGAAAGTGCTAAATGGTGTATATCAAATGCAGCAAAAACGCTGCATTAGCATCGTTGCTCATTTTTCCGATGCATCGAAACATCGATGTATCGATATACTCCCCATAACTTTCATCCCTAATAGGGCAGAACTAAAATATTGGTGCAAGAATTACTGCCATCCCTAAATTGGCGCGTCAAGCGCCAAACAACTGTCAAAAATCCTCATGCCCATACAATTTGTATGAAGCATCCCACAATAACGCGGCGCTAACGCCGAGCAAATGGAATTTTCATTTTTGACAGGGCGTTACGTGTTGAAGTTGGATGCGGAAGACGGAAAGAAAGAGAAAGGACAAAAAAGTGAAAGAGGAAACGAGAATAAAAACGAGAGGATCTGAGAAAACGTCAAAAATTACGACGCGTTGATTTGGGGATAGCGCGCGCTGACACTCGTCGACAATGGATAACGCAACGCTTAGCGCTCCAATTTAGGGACGGCAGTTAGAAGGAAAAGTGTAACAGGCTAACTTATTCTAAGCTTTAATTTTAATTTTGCTTTTATTATAGTTTATTTTTGCAATACATATTTTAAATGTATATACGTGAATGTATATAGGTCAAATGACTGTAATAAATAAATAATACCAAGTAAAAGACGTCGATCCGATATCATACCGAGTAATGTGAAGAGGCTCTTACTTCACAATTTATCGGCTAACCAGTTGACCAACCTACTTAACGCAATTCCCTACAAACGCCCCAACTAGTTGGCCGATTTCATGTTAGGCCATGCTAGGAATGCCTCCCATTTTTATGTATTTGTTATTGCTACCGCCCCCGTTTTAACAAATTATCCGCCATTTCACTAGCGAAACGAACCGAAAAACATATCTTAACGTTAATGTGCCTTAAAAAAAATGAAATCGCATTTTAAGTTGCCAACTTGACCAATCTACCTCAAAAATCAAAAAATTTAGATTTTATCCCAAGCTGACGAACGACTTGCCTACACACGGCTTCTTTACCACCAACTTCTAATGGTTGGCCACCTGGTTCGCCGATAAATCGATCCGTGTGTAGGCCCTTTTATGTGGGGTATTTGGTCCTTTAGTTGTAACGCGTACTCGATTTTCTTCTATCGATTTATGTTCTTCAAACACATATCTATTACCGGTATACATACATTTTATCCACGCCATTTTATCTAGAACAACCTGAAAATTTTTCGCATTTGCTGTAATCCAAAAGCTTGGTAAAAAATAAGTTTCAGGTTGAACCTTATAAAGCTCTATAATGTCCGATTATCGATCGCAATCCCGTGATGGTCACCGAGATGGTGGACGTGGAGGTGGCGGCAGAGATTATTCCAGTGATGACGATCCACCAATGTCGCGACTTTTTATAATTTGTAATAAAGCTCATACAGAAGATGATTTTCGTGAAGCATTCTCGTCCTATGGCGAAATCGAAGATATTTGGGTAGTGAAGGACAAAAACTCGGGCGAAAACAAAGGTATTGCCTATGTAAAATTTGCGAAGACTTCGGATGCGGCTAAAGCACAAGAAGAGATGAATGGCAAAACAATCGGCAAAATGGACCGAACCTTGAAAGTGTTGGTTGCTGCAAAGTAAGTCATATGATTGGTAATTTTGAAGTTAAGCTTTTTAAATCTGTTTTATTTAGCCGAAACCAGGGATCTAATAAAAGTGAAAATGAACAGGAAAAATATGTTCGCCTATTTATTGTTATATCCAAATCTGCAACGGAAGAGGAAATAAGGAATGAATTTTCACAATGGGGAGATGTGGAAAATGTAACGATTGTCAAAGATAAATCAAGCGGATCACCTAAAGGATTTGGATATGTTCGATTTACAAAGTTAGTAATAGACCAGAAATTACTGGCTGCGTTCCAGCAGAAGTACGATTTTCAGGACTTTACGGGAAGCTGTTCTTGTACGACACCTGACATAAGGTTTATTAACGGCGAAAACAGCTTTTCCTGCAAAACCTGCAAATCGCACTGCTGCTGGAACGCAACTACTATTTGTAATATTGCTTGTATTTAATGCCTTTTTTTGATGAAAGATTACTAAGTTGTTTACATAATATGTAATACTTAGGTTCTATCATGCTGCTGTAGCTTTTGAAAATTGCCCTCCCAAATACAAAGCTGTGTTTGCTGAACCTAAAGGATCGTCACGATCTCAACGAGATCAGTATGGAAGATCAGGTGATGATAACCCCCTAATAGGTTCCGGTCGCAGTGGTGGTGGAGGAGGAGGAGGAGGCAGTGGCAGCGGTACTTATAATAATGGAAATTTTAATAACGATTGGAACTGTTCTTTTAACAACGATATGTCAGCATTTTTACGAATGCAAAATGTACCTGTTCCGCAACCAACATGTTTAGAAGTGATTGCTAGCAATTGTGTTAACCAGGATCAGTTGTGGCGCTTATTTGACATCATACCAGGCTTGGATTACTGTCAAATAACTCGAGAATGTCCGTTCGAAAATTCCTATTTGGTTGAGCATTATAAAAAATCATTTTATTCTTTGCAGATGGGCCAAGAACCAACGAGGCAATTGTTGTTTACGATAATCCAGAAGCCGCTATTTACGCAAAGTACGAACAAATCCTACTTTGGGTATTTCAATAAATGTTTAATACATTTTTGGTTATATTTTTAGAGATAAATTGCATGGGCTGGAATACCCAATAGGGGAACGACTCATTGTTAAAGTGGCAGGCATGAGTTCAGCACGAATGGATACTTCGTTTATTGATAGTATGTTATATATGGTTTTAATTTTAAAATCTATTTACAAATATGTAATCCCTTATTGTAGAGCGAACTAAAAAAGATTCAATATGCAGTGTTGCATTACCACCTGCTCAGCCAATGGTGTCGTCCGAAACTCCAGTTGCGCAACGATTGTTTATTGTATTAGCTGCTGTAAGTACATACATATATTTAATTTTTATTTGTGTCTACAGCAAATGATTTTTTGTACAGACATTTAAAGGCTAGTTTTATGGCATTACGCTTAACGCATGACAACTGGCTACTGAATCTAGTAGCGCAGTTTTTTGTTTCCCGCTTATGACGATTTTTTATTTGTTTACATAAATGTGTTGTATTGGAGCAAAGATGCCACTCTGCAGTAAAATTTAGAGACAGTATGGTAAAGCGCTAGTTCCGAACTACATATTTCAGAACTATCTGAACTAGTGCAAAACTGCTGCAGAGCGGGACAGTTGAAACTTGTTGAAATTCTCACTTCTCTTACAATATGAAAGTAGCTCAGCGAGAAGACCTCCGACTCGAAGCATCGTTGGTCGCGAATTCAAATTGCGGTGTAGGCAGTTGTGAGTTTTCAGATTTAATGAATTTAAATTGTTGCGTGTGAATGTAACAAGCGTGGAATTTGTAAAAGAAAAGAAAAGACTGAAGAGATATCCAAAAAGCGAATCTTAAAAACGTTTCCTTATAAAAAAAACTGTCCGACACGGAACCGGTCAGCAACTAGTTGAAAAGTTATGCAGTGGGCGACAATTGCCACTGCCAAGGACATCGCCGTGTAAAACTGGACAGTTGAAAGCATTGCTTGGATATTGAGCTAGATCTACTACTGACGCAAACGGTCTATGTAGTTCTACGCTAGTTCTGAGCTAGTCACATTTTCTGCAGGGGCAAATACTTAGATTCATCCCTATACATACATAATACAAAGTTCGATACTGGTAGCCATACATGACAGGGCCTTTATTTTGCTAAAATTCAAAATAGTTCTTCAGTTATCTTTAAATAAAGATTTTGAACCTGACAGGTATTAGTCTAAGAAATTTAAGAAATAGATATACTCGGAGAAAGCTCTACTTTTTGCAGCATTAGCGCTATAAACTGTTTTATAATTAAGTCCATTACATAGGAAATTTACTGTTTTAATTACAGAACCTACCACAGTCTATATTGAAAAACGTATTTTCATGCTGGAAGGGACTAATTGATGTGTACTTGTTGCCAAATAAAAATTGCGGCTATGTAAAGTACGCAGATAGAGAAAGCGCACAAAAAGCCATTCAACAATTGAATGGTGCGGAAATTTGTGGAACAAAAATAAAGGTATACACTATTAAGATAATTTTTTGAAATTTTTTTTTATAAAATTATATGTTGTGTTATGCTCAGGTAATGGAAGCAGAAGAGAGAGGTAATGGAGATGGTGATGACAATGGAAGGAAGCGTCTTCGAAGGAATTAAAGGAAAGGTAAAAATATAACTTTTATTTCTTTCTTTACAATCCGCAACTGACAATATCCATGTGAAATATTTTTAAACGGTAAGTGCATTTTGTTTGTTTTTTAATCTAAATGTTTAAAAAAAAGACTGCTCACTAATGTTTTATTCAAATGACCGTCTTCAGTTTCTATTTACTAAACATTTTTGTAAAGTATATGATTCCAGCACTAATCGTTACAGGTTAATGAGCGTGTTTTGTTTTTCTTTTTCACAGACATAAACATAAAGCAAACCAAATTAAAACCATAACAATAACGTTCCATTACTTAATTGTACAAGAAATATAATGAAACTAACTGACCGCAGAAAACAATACGGATACATAACGCAAACGGAGTTGAAACGGAAACTGCTAGATACAGTAAGAACGAAGAATATATAAAAAAAAGGTGTTTCAGCAATGAACAATCACCACCAACCCAACCGACTCAGACCTTCACAATCACTCTGTCACATCATTAGTCACCACAATATGAATAAAGCCACAGAATGTCACTTGTAGACAATGACTAATTTGAGACCAAGTACCCCAATACACAAACGGAGCCAAACGCTAACGGAGCGCAACGGACACTGCAAAGAGCTAAAACTACAGTACAGAAAAAGAATTGATATTACAGAGTGTTTATTTGCGCAGAGCTTTTACAAGAAAAATTAAACGCAACCTGAACGTAAAACGAGAACGCGAAACTGAACTAAAACCCATAAGGACGAAGATATATACGCTACGAATCACGATGCAAGAACCGAATTAACTTTTACCACAGCAAACTTTAATACTCCCCTTTTCAAGAAAATACATACAAATACTTTTAACACTTCAACATCTATCCTTGTACATGCCTATGAAGACGTTTATTCATAACTTAGTCGTTTATAGTTCAGTTTGGATTAGAAAAATGTTTGTATTTTTCTCAATGCAATCAAACTGTGGTGTGTGTGTGTGGGAAATATTCAACAATTGAGCTAACATGTTTGGCATGTTATAATTATATGCGTATGAATTATTTTAAATGCCGATTATTATGAATATATTAAATAAAAAATATTATAAATATAATATTTCACAAATAAAAAATTGGGGTTTTTCTTTCAACTACAAGTGGTAAGTTAATTGAACGAGAATTTCCCTCTAAAACTGGCTTTTACTTGTTGGTTAATTTTTCCGACAGGGTCGGAATTGGCTAGTTCGAGACTCATAATAAAGCTGCAATACTGCAACACTGATGAAAATTTACAAACACTATTGCAAACTATTACATCGTTGCTAGAGCATATTTCCGCCATGCCTTGTCAAGTTTGGTGTCATTCGAAATATGTAAGGAAGTTAAGGGCCACTGGCGTTTCACACGTCAAACACTGACGTCATCGTAGTTTTCACCAGGGATGAAAAATTACATCAACATGGGATCCACACTAAACTATGTACTAAGTTACATTTCGTTGCCGTAATGTTCAAAATTCCGCTTTGTACAAATGTCGGTAGATTACTCTCTAAAAGCATAAACGGACGGCAGCGTTGATCCGGATCACCTCGGGAATTAACTGCAGTTGATCCGGATTAAATCCAAGGGGGCTACTCTGTACTGCGATGCGATAGGCAATCGCCACGCGTTTCTTACGACGTATTTACCTATCGCATCGCATTTCTCTTTCGCATCGCAATACAGAGTAGCCCCCCCAAGTTAGTCCGGATCAACGCTACCGTCTGTTTAAGCTTTAAAAACCGAATGGAACTTAAAGACAACTACTACAAAATTTAACAAATTATTTGGTCGATTACGGATGGCAAGCGTCTCCACATGGTCGATATAACGGAGCTTACTAGCAGGTAGGTTTAAGTTTCCAATTAAAAAAAAAACCCAAAAAGACAATTCATTCCGGTTTTCCATTCCAATTACTCTGTATGTAATTTATTCATATTTTCGTACGCCCATCTTACAAGGTTCTATATATAATAATCATATCCTATTTGAAAGAAAATTATAATCGTTTTAAATTATTTATTCATTTGTTCATATTAATTTACGTAGTTGCAAATTTAATAATAATAGTCTTCTTCTTTCATAGTTTTGTATTGAGTGCAATGCCGTTCATCATACGAGCATTCTTCGCTTGTACCTCTGCCAAACGGTTTTCCATAATAAACTATTATCGTTATTTTGACTACATTCAAAGGGGTTCATAATATATACTAATTTCAACATTTTGTTATTGAATTTGAATTAAAAAAGTTTTTGTGAAAAAGTAACCATGTAAATTGGAAGTAGAGTAAATTTAATCAATCAATCATTCTGTGTGTCAATCCAATGGGATTTTTTTTAGCATATAAAAAGGATAAAATGGTTTATTTTACGAGATATATTTTAGCGGATAACAGCTTCATAAACTAGTTCGTTTTTATGCGTTGAGTTAATTATGTTCATCAAAAGAAGTCTTTTGTGTATTGTTGTTAAAAAAAACACAAACGATTCGTTTAGTGAGTTTAAATAACTGCTGCAAATATTTATGTGCAAAATTAACAATATATCATACAATGTTGCACTTAAAAAAGCACACAATTGTATAATGTATTCTTATTACAGTTTCTGATGACGAATGACTTGAATTTTTCTACTTTTTTGCTTCTTTGACTGTTTGTTAATTGCTTGCTGACTTTGTTGGTTGTTTCAAATTGCTGGCCTTCGTTGATTAATTTAAAAGCCGTGTACTTTTAACTGATCAGGTTTCGCAAGACCAGCCTTTGTCAACCATTGGCAGATGTTCTCACGTTGGTCGCCCTGGAGCTGTAGTACCTCTCCGTATTCGGGATGTTCAATTACTGTGCCATTACATGCGAATTCCTGCACAAATTTACAGTTAGTTAGTTAGGTATTATTTATAATATACAAATATAAAAATATATCACCTTTTTACATGATCGCACAATTTTCTTTAAATCATATTCCGACGATAATCCTTGCACTGTCGTTAGTGTCTTTCGACCATTTCTCTGCTGAATTCTTATGTGTACAAGACCGTCTTGAACATCATCATCAGCACCCTTGATTGCATCAGCAAAGGGGTCTATAATTGTAAGAAAACCATGTATATATTAATGTTTTTTTTTGTAATAACCAATTTAATGCATTGAAATCTGCCTTATTCTGAGTTTCGCCCGAAAAAAAATTCACCCAAAAATTTGTATTCCGCCCCATAGTAAATACATGGAAACCAAAAGTGAAAAGTGAACCGGTTCCGGGAAAATTAAACTCATAAGGCTGAACCAGCCTTATTTATTTTATTTTTTGTTTTAACATTTTTCAACCGAATTCTGAAATAGAGCGTTTTTGAAAAGATTTCTGAGATAGGCCGTTTTCGAACTGGCAGCCGAGATACATAGGTCGATCTTCCACTCAGGTGTCGATATCATCTTTATCCGAAAAAACTTTTCTTTATTTTTTTTGGAAATATGTAAACGAATACATATCGCACATTTGCTACAAGAATGTCATAATCCAAAAAATCAAAACAAAAAAAAAACCGGGAAAAACAGGTTCAAAGTTTTGAATTTAAATATTGAGGGCAAGGTACATTGAACAGGTAGTATCAGTAGAGCAGCTGATTTGATTTATTTTCAAATTATTTGGTCTCGAAAATGTCAAATATTTTTAATTTTTTCTCACAAAAATTCTGAATTGTTAAAATCCATTTGCATGTGAAACCTTTTTCCATACAAAACAAGCGATTGAATAGCAGCTTTTGGAACGTTCGCCCAACTCGGCAGCACGACCGCTGATTACTGGGCCTTGCAAAGGATGGATCAATGCTTCGAGAAGCAAACAAATTTACTAGGAAAGAAAGTTGCATAAATTTTTATTTTTTCCAATTTCAATTTTTTATTTATTTATTCTATTACAATGCAATTTTTACAAAAACTACTTTGTGATGTTAAAACCCATCTAGGACTTACATGTCATCACTGATGTTTATTTATTAATCTATAAAATGAATATTTCGTACAGACTTAACAAAAAATAAAATATAAGTTAATAACTAATTTAGCATACTATTTAACAGTATGTAGTTTGAAATTAAATTTCGAAGAAGAGAAATCGATAGCAGAAGAGTTTGAGAGCGATTTAAAGTCGTTTAGAGCTCTGCGAAGCATTATTCGCATAATTATTCCTGACGAAGTCCAGAGAAAAAATATGGTGATTTCTAAGGCTTCTTGTGTGTGTGTGTGGTCAATATATTACATATATTTTTTCTAGTGGAGCTGCTGATAATCGGTACAGCTATGAAATTTTTGTGGTAATTTCTGCATACTTAAAATTTAATTGTATTTTATTTATATGTTTTATATTTTATTATGGCACTCTTGCAGCAAACGGCGATATGTACAGTCAATCAATAAAGTTTAGGTACAAAGATTTTTTTGCAATACAAACAATAATTTTTTAAATATTTTAACTTGCACATTGTTATGCTAAAATTGAATGTAATGTAGTAATTAAAAAGTGCATTATTTTAATGAATAATTGCCAGAAATGGATTTTTGTTGTAGAATTAACAATTTTTTTTTTTAATTTACGAAAAATAAAATATTAAGTAAAAAACAGTTGCCTATTGCAAAAACTTGCTGTATCTTAACTTTTTTGACCGACTGTATGTATGTATAAAAATTTGCTTTGTATTCTTGGAGTTCTAATTTTTTACTTTTGAATATTCTTAAAACAAATATGCAATATTAAGAGCTGGATCATATTCCCTAAATCGTGGCATTTACAACGTCAGCGTTGTCATTGCTAATAGATAACTTTTGTCGCCCAAAGAGAAAAATCGAAAGACGTCGATGCTGACTCATCGCACATGATTTCAAGTAACATCACAGTAAATCCATATATGTTAAACTTCAAAATCAAACAATGATGCTTAAATATTATACAAAACGTTTATATTTTTCTTAATAATTCACTAGGAATACGCGATTCTAACATTTTTCCACATTGTTTCATATTGGGGAGCCATGCCCGTGCAGTGCGGCAGCCATTTTTTCCCCCGAACGATTGCGAGACGAGAAAAACCTCCACATTTCGCTTCTTTTGGCGTTTCAAAATTTTTCCACCATCACGTGTTTTAACTTACCAAATGTATTTAAATTCTGGATGGACATACGATAATAAAAAGCAACCACAGCTGAAAATAAAAACCGTTTGCAATGATCTTTTTATTGCGTTGAATTACTGAAAATTTTCACTTGAATTTCTTGTAAACGTATGACGTTTCGAAACGATCCAGATTAATAAACGTAAATGAATCAGTGGCAAAGAAACGTGTGCTATTTCAGAGATTCTTCGAAACACGGAACGAAATGAGATGCATATGTCAAAATTAATCTTTTACATTTTAGTGGGATCTATTACTAAAGGCAAAGCATCGTTGCCAACTCACATTGAATCGAGAACACTGCCATTAGGCCCCGTCTCAGCAGGCCTGCACACGATTGAGAAAAACAGAGATTGCGCGCATCGCAATACCGCTAATCAGCTCTTTGTGAATTTGGCAGAAATAGGACAAAGCGTAGTGGGGAAGCAAATTTTAAAATTTTTTTAAAATCGTAGCAAATTTACTACGATCGTAGCAAAGTGCCAACGCTGATCAG